TCCAAGTCCACTAGAGCATGGTTGCAGATTAAAGGCTGGAACATTTTGGAGTGGCCATCGCAGTCACCAGACTTAAATCCGATTGAGAAGCTCTGGTGGGACTTAAAGAAAGCAGTTGCAGCGCGCAAACCTAAGAATGTGACTGAACTGGAGGCTTTTGCCCATGAAGAATGGGCTAAGATACCCGTAGATCGCTGCAAGACACTTGTGTCAAGCTATGCTTCACGTTTAAAAGATGTTATAACTGGAAAAGGATGTTGTACTAAGTACTAAGAATGAATGTCACTTGGGGGTTGAATAAAACTGATAATGATGTGAGCACAGAAAAGACATTTGTGGTTATTTCATTATAAATGTTATGTTATATTTGTCTGACTTACAAGTGCCTCTTTGATTTAATTGTAAACAAGATGACTGAAATGATCAAAATCAATGTCAAACTGGCCAAAACATTCAATTTCAGTGGGGGTTGAATAATTTTGCACACAACTGTAGGTGAGCATTGTTTAAAGTTTTGCCAAATGAGTGACTGGTTCAATACAAGAGTTTTGGCAAATGGTGGTTTTGTTCCAAGAATGAGGTTTTGTGTTTTAGCAATTCAGAAAAACTGTAATAACATTTTTTCTATACCAGTAGTGATACTTTATTACAAATTTTTCAATTGCTAAGATACATTCTGCAATACTGAAGTTGCTTTCTCAAAACTCTTCACACATTTGCCATAACAACAGCTTATGTGCTTAAAATGAGAATCATTTCTCATTGCTTTCATACAAAATGCATTCAGTGACTAAATGCTTCAAAGTTCATGGATTCTTTTCTCACTCAAAATCCACCACCATCAAAACATTTTAGATGCCATTTTGCACATGCCTACATACTGTTACAAGAACTGTCAAAAATAGTTTCAAAACTGAATGACAATTTGCTAAACATTACTACTGATAGATATACAGTATACAGTATATAATGTAAGTAAATCGGAAAAGTGTGCCCTGCATTTGTATTCAGCCCCCTGTATTCTGATGCCCCTAAATAAAATCCAGTGCAATCAATTGCCTTCAGAAGTCACCTAATTAGATAATAGAGTCCACCTCTGTGTAATTTAGTCTCATTATAAATACACCTGTTCTGTGAAGGCCTCAGTGGTTTGTTAGAGAACAGTAGTGAACCAAGGATATCATGAAGACCAAGGAACTCACCAGACAGGTCAGAGATAAAGTTGTGGCGAAGTTTAAAGCAGGATTAGGTTATAAAAAAATATCCCAAGCTTTGAACATCTCAAGGAGCACTGTTCAATCCATCATCCAAAAATGGAAAAAGTATGCTACAACTGCAAATCTACCAAGACATGGCCGTCCACCTAAACTGGCAGACCGAGCAAGGAGAACACTAATCAGAGAAGCAACCAAGAGGCCTATGATCATTCTGGAGGAGCTGCAGAGATCCACAGCTCAGGTGGGAGAATCTGTCCACAGGACAACAATAAGTCGTGTACTCCGGCCTATATGGAAGAGTGGCAAGAAGAAAGCCATTGTTGAAGGAAAGACATAAGAAGTCCCATTTGCAGTTTGCCACAAGCCATGTAGGGGACAGAGCAAACATGTAGAAGAAGGTGCTCTGGTCAGATGAGACCAAAGTTGAACTTTTTGGCCTAAATGCAAAGCGATATGTGTGGCGGAAAAGTAACACTGCTCATCACCGTGAACACACCATCCCCACTGTGAAACATGGTGGTGGGGGCATCATGCTGTGGGGATGCTTTTCTTCAGCAGGGACAGGGAAGCTGCTCAGAGTTGATGGGAAGATGGATGGAGCTAAATACAGGACAATCCTGGACGAAAACCTGTTAGAGGCTGCAAGAGACTTGAGACTGGGAAGGAGATTCACCCTCCAGCAAGACAATGACCCTAAACATACAGCAAGAGCCACAATGGAATGGTTTAGATCAAAGCATATTCATTTGTTAGAATGGCCCAGTCAAAGTCCAGACTTAAATCCCAGACTTGAAAAGTGCTGTTCACAGACACTCTCCATCCAATCTGGCTGAGCTTGAGCTATTTTGCAATGAAGAATAGGAAAAAAAATTCAGTCTCTAGATGTGTAAAGCTGGCAGAGACATACCCCAAAAGACCTGCAGCTATACTTGCAGCGAAAGGTGGCTCCACAAAGTATTGACACAGGGGGGCTGAATACAAATACACGGCACACAGATTTTTCTTTGCTTACATTTTTGAAAACCATGTATCTTTTTCGTTCCACTACACAATTATGTGCTTCTTTGTGTTGGTTTAGCACATAAAATCTCAAAAAACATTTACAACCACAAATTTAAGGTGACAAAATGTGAAAAAGTTCAAGGGGTATGAATACTTTTTCAAGGCACTGTATATATAATGAATATTTTGTGATTACACTATAGTATAAAAATAAAGGCTATGGAAATATACTGCAGCATGGGTTCTTCATTCCTGGACAATTTATAGAGCGAAGAAGTATTCTGCTTTTTAATACAATGTTTTACTGATGATCCATATTATATTTTATGTGATGCTGTCTGTTGTTAGTGTTTTATAAGACATTCTTTTGTGTGTGGATGTAGTGTTCGTCCAGAAAGAAATTAAGTGCTACTGTTTTGGTGATATGAGTCTATTGTGAGACATAGATTAACCGTTTTGATGGCTGTAGTGCATTTTGGAGGCAAGATTAACGGTTTGGCTAAGTTGCATGTTGGTATTGTAGACTCTGTGAAGAGTTTTGAGAAAGTGACTTCAGTATTGCAGAATGTATCTTAGCAATTGAAAAAACTGTCATTCCTGTGCCCCATCTTGCTCCCCATGAGACAGAGAAATATATTCAAGTAAGAGCAATCTTGGGGTCACAGTGAGGAGTCAGTCACCTTGCAGCACCCAAGGAGCGGGTGACTAAGGACCCACGGACATGTGACTACTTTGCTGAGGCCAAGCTCAAACCTTCTGATCATAAGCACATTGGCCTAGTCCACTGAGCCACACACGGCCCCCAAAGTGGTCAAGCACTTATTCTGTTTTTCCATTTATGAGAACTTTTGAAGTTTGTATGACCAACTTGCTTGGGAAAAAAATGCTATAATAATTAAATTTGATATCCACATTGATTTGTAACTTCCAGTAGGAAATAAATTGTGAAGATTTCTGTCTCATTGTACCTGTGTAGAGAGGAGTTTCGTTCTCCTTATTGCTGATGTCAGGATCTGCTCCACTCTCCAGGAGCCACTGGCTACAGGCCACTTGTTCAAAAGACACAGCAAAGAAGAGAGGTGTCTCATCCTGGAAGGTGCGTGCGTTGATCATCTTGTGATCGACTACATACGGGGAAACACAGAACAGACATGCAACCATCATGCATCTCTTGCCATATATGATAAGTACTTTTTGGAATGAGAAATTTTCTCACTGATTCTTTACCTCCAACAAAACATATGACTGCATTTGAAAAGTACAGAGATGAACTCACGTTTTAGCAAAACCTTGAGGCATTCTGTTTGGCCACGGTATGCAGCCTCATGTAGAGAAATCCAGCCTTCCTTATTTTGTTTTGTCAGGCATATTCCAGTCTTTGCAATCTCAATCAGAGTACTCACAGCACCGCTCTTGATTGCTTTGACAACAGGATCTAAGGGCCTATAAAACAGATCTGCATTCATTTACAGTTTTTCTCGATTGCTTTGGAGCATTTTATTGTTAAGACTATAAGAGCATTTCTCAAAACAGTGTACGCATATAGCACGACACTATGGTTTAACTGCAAAAGCCTGTAACTTGCACAAAACAATTAAAAATCATGTCTCAAAAGCAAATGTTCCAAATGCTTCCATAGCTACACGTGTATAAAATCAAGCAGCTACTGTAGGCATGCAGACTGCTTCTACAAACATTTGCGAAAGAATGGGAAGCTCTCAGGAGCTCAGCAATTTCAAGTGTGGTACCGTGATAAGATGCCATCTGTGCAATAAGTCCATTCGTGAAATTTCCTTGCTACTAAATATTCCACAGTCAGCTGTTAGTGGTATTATAACAAAGTGTGAAACCCATTGGGAACAACAGCAACTCAGCCACAAAGTGATAGGCCGTGTAAAATCATGGAGTGGGGACAACGCATGCTGAGGCACACAGTGTGCAGAAGTCTCCAGCTGTCTGCTACTCAATAGCTACAGACGTCCAAACTTTGTGTGGCCTTCAGATTAGCTCAAGACTCAATTACTTTTGGCAATATAGTGTAGTTTTGGGTGTAAAATTATTACAATGGAAAACATAATCTACTTTGACCAACAAAACTAAAGCAACTGAAAATTGCACCAAATAATGACAATTGTAAAAAAGCATTTGAATATACTGTATAGGGAAAATAAGTATTGAATGCATCAATGTTTTTATCAGTAAAAATATTTCTAATGGGGCTATTGACATGAAATTTACACCAGATGTCAATAACAACCCAAGTCAAGTCAAAGTCAAAGTAAACTTTATTGTCATTTGGACCATACAATTCGAGAGTGCATAGTAGAACAAAATTGTGTTTCTCCTGGCTCAATGTGCAAAACAAACAAAAATACTACAGGCACATCCCATACTGCGGTAGCGTTTACCGGATGGTAGCATGTTGAACAGTCTGTAGGCTGGATGTGATGGATCCCTGACAATCCTGACCGCTTTGCTGAGGCAGCGAGATTGGTATATCTCGTGAATAGATGGAAGGGGGGGTCCTGATCGTTTTCTCTGCTGTCCTCACTACTCTATGAAGGGACTTCTGGTCAGAGGCATTACATCTGTCATACCAGACTGAGATGCTGCTGGTCAGGATGCTCTCAATAGTACCCTTATAAAAAGATGTGAGGACATGCGGGGGTTTGCTCTCTTTAGCCGACGAAGGAAGTGGAGTTGTTGATGTGCCCTTTTACAGTTTTTTCTGAATGCTTAAACACTAACAATGATTGCAAAAGAGAAAGCAAAAGCCAGATGTGTTTTCCATTCATACCATCAGTGTGTAGTTGGCACATTGTGTGCTTATTAATATGATGGTTTGTGTTAACTGATTGGTACAAAAATCCCATTTTTACAAAGGTTTGAAGAGTTAAGCAAGATTTATTAGCTTTTGCAAGAGACCTACAATGTTTTGCTGATTTGGGTGTAAGGTTTTTTTATTTGTGTGTAGAGTTTTGCAAAAATAGCCAATAGTTACAAAAATGTGCTTAAGCCATCAGAAAAAACTGTAACAAGTGAGGTGGTGTTAGTGGTCCATGTCAGGTCTTCAGTGATGTGTACTCCCAGGAACTAATCCACACATACAAAAACTCAAAACAAATAAGTCCATAAATTAAGTTATGTGTAATAAAGTGGTATGACAGGTAATAAGTGTTGACACATGAAGAAAGGAGGTGCAAAAAGGCATGGAAAGTGACGATAAAAGGATTCTCATTACCAAGTTATCACATAAGAAGCATCTCATGACCTTCGCAACCTGATTGTTGCAAAGCATAGTGATGGCGTTGGTTACAGATGTATTTCTAAACTTCTGAATGTTCTAATAAGCACCGTTGGGACCATAATCTGGAATTGGAAAGAACATCATTTCACCATAAAGATTTCTGACAGAGGAGTCAAAACAATAATCTGAAGAATTCTTCAAGAGCCAAGGACCACTTCAGAGTTTCAGAAAGACCTGGAATTAGCAGGTACAGTTCTTTCGAAGAAAACAATAAGTAATACACTCAACCGCCGTGGACTCTATGCATGCTCACCGGTGCAAGACTCCACTGCTGAAAGAAAAAAAACATGTTGAGGCTCATTTAAAGTTTTCTGCACAACATTTGGACAAGCCAATGAAATACTGGGAGAATATAGTCTAGTCAGATGAGACCAAAATTGAGCTCTTTGGATGTCATAGCACTCACCATGTTTGCCTGAGAAATGGCACTGCACCCCAAAAACATCATACCAACAGTGAAGTTTGGGGGTGGGAACATCATGGTGTCTGGCTGTTTTTCAGCATATGGTACTGGCAGACTTCATATAATTGAAGTAAGGATGAATGGAGAAATAGACTGAAACATTCTTGATAAGAATCTGCTGATCTACCAGAGTGCTGAAAATAAAACTTTTTTTTTTTTTAAATAAATGAAACTTTCTAACTTTGAGTAATTTTTTTCTTTATAAATACTGCAATATTTATTGCAAAAATTGTTTTTTCCAATACTGTTACAAAATACTAACTACGATGAGATATCTAACAACATTCAATGCACCATTCAACATTGGGTAGTAAAGTGATATGTGACAGAGTGAAGTACCAATACAATGTGGAGCAGTGGTTAGAATATAGAGAATGCTGCAGCAGTATTACAAATTAGCAGCTAGATCGCTGTGGAGAGAGCGAGTATACAACATTTCATACCACAACCTAATAGAAACAACTGAGACCAGAAACGAAAGAGCCGACAAAGACTGTTTTCTCATGCTCCCCCCTGGTGGACATGACCTCCAGATTGATACCACGCCAGGGAGGTGACAGGAGGGTCAGTCATATGATATGACACTTTCCTAAATTTTATCTGAGATGGTCTCCCCTAACTCCTCTCCCCTGTCTGAGATTCAGTGGGTCATATGTGAGTCATTAGGCCTTTCAATGGGGGTTAAAAAATTTCCCAAACGAGATGCCTGGGTGAGGAAAGCAGGACAGCGGCTACAAGCAAAATGGTGACCCTAAAAGTAACTGTCACACCCTCTAGGTTGGGGCACACCAATTAAGAGTCAATCAGCCTCAGCGCTTAAAACCCCACTTGCCCTTGTGTGAAGTATTATTGCCCTTCTACGTGCCATACCGAGAATGCTAACTACCTTTTCTCTCATCTCTCCCATTCTGCTCTTGCTCCTGCCCTGTCTTCTTTTGCTCATTCTCTACCTGCTTCTGCTCCCGCCCTGTCTTCTCCCATCCTGACTCCTCCCATCCCCGCCCTGTCTGCTTCTGCTCCCATCCTGCCCTGCCCTGCCTGCTTCTGCTCTGCCTGTTCTCATCCTGCCTGCTCCTGCCCTGTCTGTTCCTGCCCTGCTTCAACTCTCACTTCCTGCCCTGTCTGCTCCAGTTCCCGTCCTGGACGCTCCAGCTATGCCTACTTCTGCTCTTATCTTTACTGCTCCCGTTGTGCCAGTTTCTGCTCCCATCCTGTCTGCTCCTGCTCCCTCCCTGTCTGCTCCCACCTTGTCTGCTCCCATCCCTGCCATGCCTGCTTCTGCTCCTGTCCTGCCTGCTTTAGCTCCCATCTTGCCTGCTTCTGCTTCCACCCTGTCTGCTCCCATCCTGCCTGCTTCTGCTGCTGCCCTGTCACTAAATATGTCACTAAATTTTGAGAGGCCTGTCCTGTTCTTATATATCATTGCCAAGTAAGAAATAATCTCTCCCCTTAATTCCACTTTAAGTGTGTCCCAAAGTATACTCTTAAAATATCAGTGAAATACTGCACCATTGACGTTAGGCCAAGTTTTTTTTTTCCAGGAACAGCATGTGGGTCAGCAGACTAAGCCTCTAGGCCTGTGGTCAGAAACTTGCCAGTTCGTGCTCTGCCTCAGCAGAATGCTTATGTATTTTTTGGCCCTTGAGCAAAGCCCTTAACTCCAAATTGGACAGGAAATTTGCTTCAGGCCCTTGCTAGCAAAGGCACTTTCATCACGCCTGGTACCACTTTGCACCAGATGCTGAATAGGGCCCTTTATCTTAAATGACATTGGGCATATTATTTGCTAAACTTGGGTTTACTCATAAGAACATAAGAAATTTACAAACAAGAGGAGGCCATTCTGCCCATCAAGCTCATGTGGGGAGAACTTAACTAATAGCTGAGTTGTTAAAATCTTATCTAGCTATGATTTAACTTTATGTGTAAAAACTTTGATTTAACTTTATTGCTTCTCCACGCTGGTGAGAGTGGGACATGGAAGCATCAACATACACACCAAGGTCTTTCTCATAATCAGCTACAATATTTTTATTTCAGTGGAACCCATAGAATATTAGTACTTTATATTTCTGCTCCCTGCATGGATTATACCTTACATTTATCTACGTTAAATTTCATCTGCCAGGTATCAGCCCAGTCACTAATTAAAACAAGATCCCTTTGTAGCCTCTGTGCTGCTAGTTCAGTATCTGCTACAGCACCCACCTTGGAGTTGTCTGCAAATTTAACCAGCTTACTGTATGTCTTGGTGTCAATATCATTAATGTAAATTAGGAACAAAAGTGGTCCTAAAATTGAACCCTGCAGTATCCCACTGTGACATTGTGCCTCTAATAACTACTCGTTGCTTCCTGTCAGTTAACTAGTTTTCGATCCAAGCTGCTACAGTTCCTAAAATCCCTGCAGCTTTGAGCTTAAGCAAGAGCCATTATGCATAGCCTCCAATGCATAAAAAATTAGTAATTTACTCAAAAACAGTGAGAGCAAAAATGTTGCATAGCGCTAGTACTGCCGCGGTATGTCATCGAAACTGCGCAGTGTAAAACCACCTTTTTGTTTTGCGATAATTCGACCTACTCCTATACTTACATAGTGATATTAAAGGAGAACAATTGTTATAATGAATTGAAGTGTTTTATAAATCATAAAGGTAATTTTATTAAAATAAAAAAACGAAAACGTCGATTTAAAATATCAATGTCAACGCATTTTCAGCATCGACATCATCGACTACATCGACTAATCGCAGCAGCTCTGGAAAAGGCTGCACTCACACCATAAAGTCCCCACTGGCAACCCACTACTTAAACTTTATGCATTGAAACATACAAGTGTTTTGCAGCTCTTTTTCTCTTTACTAAAACAAAAGCTGGCTCATTAAATCTAAAATGCTCCTAGAAATCACGTCTTTGAACTTCATTTATCGGGTGACTTCAGCCTACTTTTAGCTAACTGTCATGTCCTGCTCGTCCTACCCTTTCTTTGGCCACGCCCCCTCATCTACCCCATGTGGATTCCCTGTGTTCACCAGCTGTTTCTTGTTATTGCGATTAGTTCAGTGTATTTAAGTCCATGTTAGAGTATGTTTCCCCAGTCCTGTCATTGACGTTACATGTTACATGTCCAGTATTGGGAGAAGATTCCTAAAAAACCCACATTCCCTGAAATCTCGTCTCACTGTTCCAGCTTCCACGATCCTGCGCTTTGACACTAACATTACAGTAACGGACTCTATTTCAAAGCTTTTTGATTCTCATGGTTAAAATGAAGTAAATTGTTCTTTTCATTCTTGTGGCACTGACTACTTCATTAGTAGAATTATTATTATAGAATTAATTGCTTTTAAGACACGAGTTAATAGTTTTGGATCAGTTACAGGCTTTTGTAGCTAAGCCATAATGTTGTGTTATATGTATGAATTGTTTTGAGAAATGCTGCTATGTTCTGGAATGTTAATTATGTTGCATGAAATGTGCCAAAGCAATCGAGAAAAACCATAATGACAAACATTATATGACAAGCATTATAATCATAACTGTGCATATATATATATACAGTATGTGTGTGTGTGTGTGTGTGCGTGTGATATGTTATTGGTATGTTAAAATGTTATGCTATACTTGCATGTTACTTCTGTATGTTCTACATATACATTGTGAATGTACAGTTAAAGTAAAGTGTTACCAAATATTTGAATTGAATTCAAAGGCTTTCCGAGGAGTGAAAAGAAGAAGGTCCTCTTAAGTGGAGCATAAGCAGGAGCAATATCTAAATGCTGCATGGAACTGAAATAACAAGCCATCTGGTTTTTCTAGCATCAGAGCAGATGGAAGTGGCACTTACTCTGGATCAAGGGTGACTAACATTGACCCATCGTATCTCCTCCAAGCTGCATACTGCTGGCCGTCACTGTTGATGAAGGAATAGCACTTTCTTGCTCCTGGACCTGGGTCTGTGCAAGCATTTTTCAGAGTGATGCTACAAGGAAACATACATCATGTTCATAAGCCAATTCACTTGGATATGAATTTAATGATAATACACTAGAACTTGAATAAATTGTTTTTCTGAATTGGGAAATAATCATTAGTCATGCATTTTTTTTGGCCCAGGTAATCGATCATACATGTAATACAGTTTATGTTAAATGGGACCTAATTTGCTTTTCCAGTTTTTCATTTAGTGTGTTATATAGTTTTATGTGCATGTAAATGATCTGTAAAGTCTTATGGCCCAAAGTACATGCCAAAGGGAGTAATTCTCACCACAGAAAACACTCTTCTTTTAACTGCCTGAAACGTCTCATTTGAATTTGAGCACTTACTTCCGTGATTTGGTGAGGTCACCTTGTCAATCCTTGTTGGCTGCTTCCTTGCATACAGACTGCAAGACGGGCAGAACGTGTACGACAAACTGACCAATCAGAGCACACTGGGCTCATTGGTGGTCGGACTTAAATCACTAGAGATGTACAGTATGAGACATTTTTGGAGCAAAGGAGCAGGAGTGGCATGGAGGACTGCCTCACACCTCTGGGAATAGGATTTGAGTCTCCATCATGGCTCTCTGTGTAGAGTTTGTATGTTCTCCCTCTGTTGTTGTGAGGTTTCCTCCTGGTACACAGTCTATAAACATGCTAAGGTGAATTGGAGTTGCTAAATTGTGCATATGTGAGTGAGTGGGGTGTGAGTGAAGCCCATCCTGGGTTGTTTCCTGCCTGTAGCCTCTGTGATAGGCTCCGGACCCCCATGGCCTTGAGTAGGACAAGCAATTACAGAAAATGGTTGAAAATGAGCAATACATCCTCTCTAAAACAGCCCTTCAAATGAAAATTGCAAGATTATATTTAGAAACAACTCCGCTTTTAGCTCTGGCACTTGTTAACCCATGACTAAACTACTCTTTACTAGCAAGTTTGTGCCATCAGACCAGTGCAGATGATTCAAAACCCAGCAGCATGTCTCATATTTATTCAGACTAAATGGTCTCATGTCGCACCACTCCTTGTATCTCTTCAGTGCCTCCATACTGACACTCACATCAAGTCCTTGGTGCTGGCTTACAGGTCCATCAATGGACAGGCACCCATCTCCATTTAAAAACTCCTGAAAACCTATGTCTCTTCTTGCCTCCATCAGTCTGCAAATCAACACTGCTGGGAGTTCCCTCCAGCACATGAGAAGTGTCACTCCAGACGGTTGTTTTGTGGGTTCCCTTGTGGTGGAATGAGCTACCAAATCACATCCGGTCATCAGACTTCCGCTGTACCTTCAAGAAGTGCCTTAAGACCCATCTGTTCTATGAATTCCTCTACTACCTTTATTGTTATTTGAATGCTCTAATTTTGCATTTACTGGCCATCAAATAGTCTTACTAGATTCTGCTTTGTTATTAGTTATAAGTGTAGTTGTGTAGCTGTTGGGTAGCTCCTGCTCCAATACTGCATACACTTGTAACTGGGTATTCATTGGAAGCTCAGCTTAGTCGCACTTATGCCTATTTGATTCCTTGACAGCTGTATGTTTGTAATGTGGTATTTGCCTGACTTATACGTTGCTTTGGACAAAAGTGTGTGCTAAATATGTAAATGTAATGCAAATATATATAATGCTCATATTTTTCCTTACATTAAGCAAATGAGTCTCCACCCAGTTAAAAAATAAATAAATAATAAATTAACCCTTGCATGTATCATGCAAGATTAAAGTACACAGATGGTTAGTTAAACACAGAGTAAGATGAAACATTGGCCTTTGGTACTTCATGTACCGCAGTCCACCTCGGCTCACCATGGTGTGTCATCTGTGGGTGGAGCAACATGTGGATGTGCAGAAATGGAACCTGCAATAGTTGGCCTTGACTGCACTATTGGTGTCTTACTGTGACCAGTGTGGTCCACAGAAACATGGTCATCTGTTAGACTGCGTTCAACAGCCAATGAGATCAGCTCATCTTCCGTCAATCCACTGTAAACACTGTAGTCTTCCGATGCCATTGATAGGCCTCTTGTGCTATGAAAGGTCACAATAGAGATTTCCATGTAGCAAAACACATGGCAATAGCAGACATTCAATTAGTGTATAATATATATATATATATATATATATATATATATATATATATATATATATATATATATATATATACACACACACACAGTGCCTGACGAAAGTCTTGTCACTTA